ATACTGGTTGGTCAGATGGAGACCCTGCACCGACTTTTGCATGCACCCCTACGTCAAGTCCGTCAGCATTCGAAGCAGACCGCTGGGATTGCATCGCTCAGTTGGAGGTTATAGGGTTGTGGGTGTTTTTAGACCACAAAGCCCATCTCGTAAAGGGTCACCTGTGTGCCGTAGCTTCCCCCAGGTGACTTCTGGTGACATGTATGGGAGTGACAAAAGACCCAGGCGGCTGTTTTCTAGCGCACTTTTGGAGACCTTTATTGAAGTCATGAGGAGAGTGATAGAGGGCGAAAGGGCTCCATTATACCCAGATATGATCAGCGGTTATGAGTTGTGGAGGGAGCATGCTCGGCATTTGTTCATGCTAAGAAGCTTTTTTGATATGTGTCTTAATGGCGTTTTCATCTGATGCATTTGGATTATAGATTGAGCATTCTATTGAGCAATCATTTTCATATTTTTGTTAATAAAGCACCTATTACTGGTACATTTTGCTCTCATTATAACTGATAATAAACACATAATTGAAATATAAAGAAAACAACGACCTCCGACCTTACAGCAGAACATATCTTCCACACTCCTGCCCTGACCTTTTAGCTGTTTGTATCCCCTGGCAAAGTATATCAACTTCTTAAAGTTGCATGCAGACCTTCGCTCGTCTCAGTAAATGACAGTCGACTTGTAATTCAGATGAATTCAAAGCTCTTTAGCTCTGTGGTGGTGACACTTAAAAGGTTCCGTTAAGCAACAACAAACCTTACTTTGTTCAAGTGAGCTCACTTTAGCTCTGTTTGCAGAGATGAATGCGGTGTGATGCAATCGTGGTTGAAGCATTGCATTGTCACCTGCTTTATACTTCTACTTTTTTTTTTTTTTTTTACATTTCAGAGGGAAATATTTTGCTTTTTAGTCCACCACATTTATCTGTCAGCTGTTACTATTTTTTTTTTTCCATATTATTTTTAGTACAAAAATATAAATCAGGATGCACTCTTAAGGGAAAAAAAGCTCTTCCTCTAGTCTGAATTTGAATCCTTGAAGTTTTTCTTTCTTTTAAGAAGTCGTAGTTTACCTTGTTTTCAGTGTTGGTTTTAAGAATTTGTTATTATAGTTCTATTGACAT